GGCCACCCCCTAACATCGATCGCCCACCAACACCGATCGCCCCTCAACACCGGCCACCTCCCCAACACCCCCTCCCCCTCACCCGACACCGACCACAACACAACACCACCCACCACACCCATCCTCCAACCAAGCAACGCCACCGCTGAGCAGCGTTAGATCGCTCAGCGGGGCCTGTCGACGACATGTGTCTTATGGTACCGTACTCACGAAGTTCCGCTTTATAATAGTGCCCTATAATGCAGCACAATATCATCGCTTCGAGGAGATGGATACCCAGGGCGGGGAAAGTGGGAGGGGCGGAAACAGCGAGTGGAGGGGGTGGGGAAAAGGCAGAGGAATTTAATGGAGTGCCTCAAAGTTTGATGTAAAAACGCATGATCGCACCGGCTTGCCTGGTGCGTTCCAGCCTGGGTTGCAATTTGCATATATGCGGAACCGCTGAAAAATTTATAAATTTTTTAGCGGAAAACCACTCCCAGGACAGGCAAGCATAGAAAACTAGAACCTTGCGTGAACATTCCCTATCCATATGTTGGTTAAACGTTTCAAAATCAACTACCACGCATGCTTGCATCGACACCGTGGCCTCATTATAGTTCCATTTTGGGCGCCGTGGAACTTTAAAATTCATCGGGAAGAAGTAACTGTAACTTTGCCAGAATATTGGTCGTCCGTCTGTAAAGTCGTGCACCTGAATGGAGCTCAGAAATGCATTTTTGTACCTTAAGACACGTCAAATATTTGCCCCCATACACGGGGAACCCGGTAAGGGGAGGGGGTATTTGCGTCCCGACATTTGAGTATCGGCACATACGACGTACTCACACCTTTCAGGGCTTTACAAATTTCACGCCACGTTTTGCTGTGCAAGTAATTTGCAGGCTTCCAGGCAGCGAAATTGTTCGTATAAAAAGTGCTGAAGAACTGCGCGCTGTCTATGGTAAGTTATAACAATTTTAGACTCTGAATTACATATTGACAAGTATGATCTTCATGAAATTTCGATTTTCTGCTTTAT